TTAGATAATTGCACAAAATAATATATGCGTTAAGGAAAAGATCGATTTGAAAGTTATAACATAGAAAGAACTGTGCATGCGTGTTTATAATGATTCTGAGACACTTTACATATATAAAATACATAATTTTTGGCGTATAATGCGCATGACTATATGAAGCTTATTTGCGCACAATTAAATCTACTTATCCAACATTATTTACAACATTAATTACATTACTTATACTATACTAATTGTTTAATTATTTATGAAACATTTCGCATACTAATGCATACTAATTGTCTTTTTATTACCTTTAATTAATTGTGTAATTGTCATTGTCACTAATATTAATTTAAATTTTCACACTTGCTCACTAGTAATGATTTCTAGATGTTCTGTATTTGCACTCAAAATCGGTATGTCGAAAATACACTTTTCAAAATCGCGATATATCTGTATTTGTAGCTATTATTGTGTACGCTGTTATTACGATCACATTAATGTTGGCACTGAGAAACACTTTCGAAATTATTTGGCAAGATGACTGTCCTAATGACTGTCGCAGAGCTTCGCTCAAGTTTGCTAAATCACTGCTGCGATCTGTGCATCGAATTAGATTTAAAATCAAAGAGATACGAAACATGCTCGAAAAATCACAGCGATTCATTTAAACTTTAATTTTCACACAAATCCTTATTCCCATTTCACTCACTTTTTTCAACTCAATATTCCCCTTCAATTCATATACTCTTATAACTCGCACACTTAATTTCCTCACTCAGACAACGTAATTAGTATAACCTTACCTTAAGTTAAATTACGTACCGATACTTTAATATTTTATTTAATTAGAGCGTGAATTTTAATAAATGAGTTAGGATTACGATGAAGTAGAACAGAATAGACTTTTGATGCATTTGGAATATTATATCTAACATAGGACAACCTAATATTTAAAACTATTAAAAACCACTTTAATAAAATATTAAAAAGTTTGTTCTTGAAATATTCTTTTGTTAATCTAAACATTCTGTATGTGCACATCACATTTTTGTTTATAGGATTGTATGATACAACGTAGAATATATATTAATTGTATTTCGGATGTAATCGCAATTTCGCAATTCGTTAGTTACTTTTGCGATTTGCAAACGACAAAGAATTTTATCGCACATGGAATTTATTCGCGAATTATTGCGTTACAATCTTTCAGACGAACAAATAATCATTTTTGGCAATGTATAAAATTATAACGATTTTCATATTGTACTTTATATGAGAAAAACATAGTAAACACAGTAAAATATTGACGCAAATTACGTGAATAGAAATAACATAACGTAATGGATGAATATGAAAAAATGTACTAGTTCTATCCGCACTTACAATGATAGAGCGATTCAAAATTTTAATGATTTGAAACGAGTTAGCACAATGCTTAGCTTTTTTGAGAATATTGAGTATATCTCGACTCGATACTCTGTCATGCATAACGAAGATAGGCATTCTGTTCGTGTTAATTCGTCGTTGATGTATAACGTCACTTTTCGACAATCTTCTCCTATAGGCGACTAGCAGATGAAGATGACGAGTTGTCGGAAGTTCAACCAGACGCAGTACCACCGGAAGTGCGCGAATGGCTGGCATCGACTTTCACCAGACAGCTCGCTACTACTAGACGAAAAGCCGACGAGAAACCGAAATTCCGCTCGGTTGCTCATGCCATCAGAGCGGGCATATTCGTCGATCGGATGTATAGGAGAGTCATGAATACCGCTGTCATGCAATTTCCACCGGAAGTCGTGAAAGTACTTAAGGTAATCCGTTGGCCAGTCGCGACTAGACAGTATTCGTGTCTTTGTACTAGGCGCAATTTATTTTAAGTACCGATATATAAATATAAATATTAAACTTACTTGTGTTTAAAATAGTACGCGGTATGTTTAACTTTTATTTATATATTTACTACATTTTACTTATAGTTAGAAATTATCAGTATCTCGATTATCAGTTGAGAAAAGAGAATTTTAAATCCAATTTTTTTTAAGTCCAATTATTATTGAAATGAAAACCAAGAGCTTTTAAAATGTTACGTTCAAATTGCTTCCTTTATCGTTTAAGACTTTAGACGATTGGTCGTTCGATGTGTTTTCCCTGAACGAGGCCGCTCTGGGCACGCCAGTGAAATATCTGGGCTATGACCTTCTCAATCGATATGGTATGATTCAGAAGTTTAAAGTACCTCCCGCAGTTTTGGAGTGCTTCCTCGGAAGAGTTGAGGAGGGTTATTGCAGGCATCGAAACCCCTACCACAACAATCTTCATGCTGCCGACGTTGCGCAAACGATGCATTACATTTTGTGTCAAACAGGTTTGATGGTAAATATCTTTTTTCTGAGAGAGAGAGACAGAGAGAGAGAGAGAAAGAGAGAGAGAGAGAGAGAGAGAGAGAGAGAGAGAAGAGAGAGAGAGAACATTACTAATATATACTACTAATATATACTAATATGTACTAATATATACTGTACGCATACACGCACAGTTGTCTTTTGCGAGTCTTTTTATAAAGAAGCAATAAATATGTTCTTTAATTTTTGAGTGGTTGCATAATAAGTTTATAAGTTAATTTATAGCTATACTAATTAATTTACTTTTGTGCAAGTTTTATCAAATTTTCATTATTATTATATATCATATAATAGGATACATATGTATATAATATCTACGTACAGTATTAACGTGTATAAATATATAATATATTCCAAAAACAGAGTTAATGTAACTTCGTTTGGCGTTATCTCTTCATCTGAAAGAACAGAACTCGTGTGAGATACGGCACAAATAATAGAAATAAGATCTTTATCGCTACGTTAAAACTTGATTTATTGATTAGTTCGATAAAAAGAAAATACCTCTCCCGCTCATTGTCAATTTGATATTTTGCTTTCTGGATTTCTTTAATGATTCTTTGTTTGATGCGATATATTTTGTTTACACGATATACATCAGATAGTTCTAGTCTGATAGATTGTTTATTACAGAATTGGCTAACCGATCTCGAGATTTTCGCCACTCTCGTGGCAGCGATTATTCACGATTACGAGCACACTGGGACCACAAACAATTTCCACGTAATGTCCGGTAGTGATACAGCGCTCCTGTATAATGACCGAGCCGTATTAGAAAATCATCACATCTCAGCCAGTTTCCGGTATGTGCAAATTCTGTTTTGCGATTGCCATTACTGTTTCAAATCAGAGTTCGTAATTTATTATTCGAATTTTACATAATCTTATCTTCCAAAAAGTTTTATAAAAAATTTAATTAAAAGTATGGCAACATCTATTATAAGTACACATAATTATATCATCTTTTATATAATTAAATCATCTTTTAAAATATTCCAAATGAATAATATTTTATTTTTTCCTTCCTTTGTTTTGAAAAGCTTTTTTTATTTAAAATATGATTTTGTATTCTTTAATAAAAAATCAGAATTTACACTTTTTATATGATAAATATGAATTTATAGAAATGACATTAATATCTTAATATGTAATATCAATGCTTCTTGGTATAATTGTATATTTTAGGATACTCAGGGAAGATGATTGTAATATACTGCAGAATTTATCGAGAGAGGAATTTCGAGAATTTCGATCACTCGTAATCGACATGGTTCTTGCCACCGACATGAGTTTTCATTTTCAACAATTAAAAAATATGAAGAATTTATTAAGTTTGGCAGAACCAAGCGTTGATAAGAACAAAGCCGTTAGTTTGGTTCTTCATTGTTGCGATATTTCGCATCCCGCTAAGAGATGGGATCTTCATCATAGGTGAGACTCTTCGGAAACAATTAACAATGTAATGTTTGTGTATTTAATTTTAATAAATTTAGGTTTAATTATTTATTAAAAATTATCGAGATTGTAAAAGTTATGAAGACAGAAAGTTATTTGTACAAAATTTCTATGTATATTTTTATATTTAACATGAAATGAAAATATTAAACAAATTAAAAATCTGTAAACCAATCAAGATTTCTTTCCTGTTGATCTATGTTCTAAGAAAAACAAGAATAAAATAATATATCATAATAATTTATAAATCATATTTTATTCTCGATGCATAGGTGGACGATGCAACTTCTTGAAGAGTTTTTCAGACAAGGAGATAAAGAGAGAGAACTTGGATTGCCATTTTCTCCTCTATGCGACCGCAATAATACGTTGGTAGCTGAATCTCAAATAGGATTCATAGAATTCATTGTCGAGCCTAGTATGCAAGTATGCAGTGATATGCTGGAAACCGTTCTCGCACCGCTCAATGTCAAGGATACCACAGACGAGTCCAGCAATGGTAAAAAACTTTAACTCATATGATGCTCATTTAATTTAATATTTAATTTAATATTATTTTAAGTAATTATGTGAGTGTTTTCTGAAATATTATTTTTTCATTAATAGATTAGTTGAATTATATCAATTAAGTATTGTTTTAAAGATCGATAAGTGTTTATCTGATGACGATGTTGCAGGCTCGGGAGGAGAAAATAGAAGATTTAAAATTGGCAAACCTTGGATCCCATGTCTCGCGGAAAATAAAAAGATCTGGAAGGAACAAGCAGTCTGCGGTATGTTTAAAGTTAAATTTATTTAGTTAATTACCTTAACAAAATTGTCAATTGTAATGAGTCAATGTTATATTTACAGATGCGGAAGCTAAAGCACAAAAAGAACAAGAACAAAAAGCCAGTAGTAATCGCGAGGATGGTGGAGGAGTGCAAGCTCCGGCTGAAGAATGAAAGATACATCGGACAATTGTATTTTTCAAGAATCTCTGTAACTTTAGATTACGAGGAAGTTCGTGATTCGATGGCACCTATCATAAGTTTACGGACTTTTTATTACGCTTACGAATGATAGCCAGGCGTCATTCGGTAGTACAAATAGAGATATGAATATTGTACACATTAGATGAGTGGAAACAAGATGATCTATACACAACATACACACACACACACACACACACACACACACACACACACACACACACACACACACACACACACACAAATATGTTGAAGGATAATTTGTTTAGATTGATACCAAAGACCCAAATCAAGTATTTATCTTGCTATTCCTGTAGAATATGTATAGAATATATCTTATCCGATTGTTTTTTACATTTCTGTATGTACAATTTGATCTCATTATATTAGTTATGGCAGAGATAATCACCGTCGATGCTGCAATGATTAGACGTCATTTCTTGTTAGTTTTGAAGGCTTTGTAAAATTCACTTTTGTCAAATTTTCCAATCTTTAAGTGATATATTTTCGAGCGTTAATTTGACATCTTAAAATCATTTCAAATTATATAAATAAATGATTACGTGATCATAATATAAAATAAAAGAGAATCAACAAGAAAATAACATAAATTATGAATCTTGATTTGTTTATGATTATTTGATTACAAAAATATGATTACAAAAATAAGATGTGAATCACGCGCATATTCGTACTCTTGAATTAAATATTGACATAACAGCAGAGGTATATTATCAAGATAAGATCGTCGAGATAAAAATCACAAGTATGTTGTAGAAGACACATTTTGTAAAATGAATCGAGCATTTTCATAGCATCAAATGACAACAGAACAACTTGTTGGCGATAACAAATTTAATAGGATTCTATTCATTAGAACATCCAAGTTATATATTTAATTTCTCTGGATGCTACATAAATAAACGTTATTTAATCCATTAAGAAGATTTGCCAATTTCTTGATACTGAAATAATTAAATTATACTTTTTCTGAAAAGCAGGATGTATCTAATTACTATTTTAAGTAGATAAATTAAACGATAATCAATATGTTTTTCAAATCCTAAAGAAAGTCTAGTGACAAAATGCAATATAAAATAGTTGACGACTAATATAAAAATTTTTAAATATTATAATTATCGACGGTGATTATGCAAAATTTGTATTTATCGATAAGAATCTCAGAAAATTAATGTAACGTTTTATTATTTCTTGACACGTACCGCACAAAAATATAAATATTGCACAAGATATTACATTTTTCTTGCAATCTTTTTTATTTTTTTTTTCTTTTTTTACTGGAGATTCTTTGTGAATACTGATATCTTTAATGCGATCTTTGTAAATGCAGAATGCAAAATGTTACGATTGTTTACAAGGGCTATTTGGAAAATTCGGAAACGATTTCTCTTCTTATTCACTTGCTTTTTAATTAATTGCGATAAAAATA